TGACTTTGAGACATTCTGCTTCTTTACTTTAATTATTTTAGAATTACATGTTGAATTCATCAGTTAAGTAGTGCACTGATTGTTACAGCTGATATTTACAGTATATATTCACAGTATAAACAGAGGTTGAACCTGACTCAACTATGGATGCATTAAAAGGTCATAAATCCTGGATATTAAGTGCATGAAATAAAACAAAATGTCTCTTCATCTCTCTTTTCCTCCCATTGGGAAAATAAGCTCACGGCGGAGAAGAAGAAAAGGGAGGAAGCTGAGAAAGAAGTGGAGAACCTAAAGAGGCAGCTGGAGACCGAGGTTCATTTTCTATCTTAAAACACTGTAAATTAATGGAGCAGTGTTTTCATCTCACTTCTTTTAATCTCCTTCACAAATTATTGATATTTATCTGAAACCAAGACAGTCTATATCTGAGACCACTACCATTATCATCACCTCTCCATATAAAATAGAGTCAAAATAGCTATTATAATATAAGCAAAGAGAGTTTTTTACTTGTTCAATGTCAACCTGTAGGCTCCAGCTAGGGGTCTACAGTATTTCACTCCTCAATATCTCTATGTAAACATATCTGCAGGGAGGGATGAGGTCGGAGCCTGGACGCCAAGATCTAAATAGTTATACTGCTGTAATAACATTTCAAATATGAAGTACAGTAATACACTGCTGAGAGATCAATACCCATCTGTCTGTCTGTCTGTTAGCTAGTTGATTTATCCTGAATAACTAATCTGTGTGTGTCGTTTCCCTCTCAGCAGATGGAATTTGACCAGTAAAGGAATTACATCCCTCTCAGAAACACCTTAAGGTAATGTGTGTGTGTGGATGAACACTGTTAGAGTTCTACAGTATGTACGTGTGTACAATATGCACAACAATAACATTTCAAATAAGCCATTCAAACAAATGAATAACCTGTTATTTACCCTATGATCCATTTCTCTTGTTTCCATGTAAAGAGGGAAATGACATTCAATCACACACAATGAATTTAAGACACTAACATTTGTTTGTTAGTCTTCCTACTCACATCCACTTATTCCATTCAGCACTGTTGATGAGTTCCATTGAGATAAAAGAAAATATGATAAAATAATAATAACAAAAGCAACACTATTATTATCATTATTACTATATTTAACTTAAACTGTTGAATGATTCTGCTTGTCAGTGTGTGACCTTTTCATTTCACAGATGTCACACTCGGATTATGGTACCCGTTGTACTCGCCCTGTCCTGGAGCTCTGCAGACAGACTGCAGGCGGCCCTCATCGGGGACACTGGAAAGATCCAACATCTCTCAGTTTATAGCCACTGAAATATAATAATGATAGCCCAGCCTACACCAACATGCATCCTGAAGAGTAAAGAGTGCAGTGTTAAACATCAGAGACAGCAGACTCAGATCTTCCTGTGAACATAATAAAGTCGTAAAGATGTGGTCACATGACTTTACAATCAGTAAAAAAACAATGAACCCCTTTTCTTTATGAATATTGAATATAACACATTACATTTTTATTCTTAACAATTCAAAACATCTTCTGTTTCAAATGTGGTGAAAAAGCTAAATATAATTATATGAATTATTAGAATTTAACTATTAAAATGGTTCAAATACATTAAACAGACATTAAATCAGATTTTACTTAACTCAGGAATTATTATTTTGAATTTTTTAATATTTTATGGTGAAGTTTCTTTTTCATTGAGGTGTAACACTAATGTACAAACAGTAAACAGCAGATTTGTAACAGTCGTCTTTTGGATCTTCTTCACAGTGAAGATATTTTTTGTCTTTCTATGTTTTGTATTATTTTGTTATTGAATTTAAAATGCAGGTTTAGAATTCCCTATCTATCTATCTATCTATCTATCTATCTATCTATCTATCTATCTATCTATCTATCTATCTATCTATCTATCTATCTATCTATCTATCTATCTATCTATCTTTTTATATATGGACCTTATTTTTATTTTGTTGATAATAAATAAAAATAACCTTAATAAACTGAATTAAATCTAATGCAGAACTTCTGTTAAAAAATCAGTTCTTTTCAAATTGGTTATAGTGTTTCTAACATACTGGGCTAATGTTCTTTGCAGATGAAGTGAAATTTCATTGAAAATGTGCTGATTTAACTTTTAATTAAATTAATTTAAAAAATGTGAATAATGATGTGCACATATCAGAATCTTCTTCTGCACATTGCAAATATTCTTTATAATTATTACAGTGATATTTTACACATCTTCCATTTGAAATAGCAACCATATTTTACATGATGTCTTTTTATTGTCTTTATAATATGTTTTTGTATATTATTGTTATTTTCTATTCCTCTCATTATGCTTCTTGACGTGCTCTACATGTTTCCATTGCCCTGTGTTTATTGTTACGTACCAATATACAGAGCCAAATTCCTTCATGTGAAAACCTACTTGGCAATAAAAGTCATTGTGAATCTGATCATTATTACGTTATTAAGTTTCAGAATCTGTGACTGAAGATCAATTCAAATATTTAAATGATAGTCTTAAAGACTGGCAATACAACAAAGGCCAATATGAGGAAGACCAACACTACATTATGCAATAACGTATGAACTTCACTTTGATCATTTTAATATCATAATGTTTCTACACATTACAAAGTGCTTCACACAGGCTGACAACTTCATAACCAACTGATTGTGCAACAGTAGCGTTCAGTAATGGCTGTAACATGTTGTTAAAAGTTCAAAACATATTAACATATTAGCAAATTGTGGCATAAGATGAAAATGGGACTGTCACTTAGAAGTTGATGTGCGTCCTTTGATTGTTTGTATTCGTAAACCAGGCAGCTTTTTAAATGTTGCTGCTGCAAGGAATTGTGGGATGGCATTATCTCCTTTTGTAGCTAAAAAGATGGTCCAGTGTATCCGATGCTATAGAGATAAGAAAGGAAGCATCGAAGCATCTTTCCTCAGCATTTAGAGAATGTTCTCTGATCATGGCTGCCACTGAAATCCTTCCAGGTCCTTTCACTCAGTCAGGAACCTTCCTGAGCAAAAAGAGCGGACCCCTGGTCCCCATGGACCCCAGCTCCATGAGGCTGCACAGAGCTATATGCTACAGTCAGCATGCTAACATGCTCATGGTGTAATGATATGTTCACCATTCACATGTATTCTTATTATGTTATCATCTGTTTGCTATTTGCTATTTTGGGACAGACTGAACTAAAGTCAGGTGCTGCAGTAACACAGCAGACGGTTTAATGTGAATATATTTTTATTATTACTTCATATTCTGTGGTTACATTGATGAATATATATGAGGCCTACTCGAGACACAGTTCACCTACTCAGCTCTATCAAACCACTAACGTTTTACTGTTTCTACCGAGGCTCCTGAATGCCTCTTCTACACACACACGTTTTCTCATGTGGTTTGTGTCTGAGAAGCTCAAATTATCACCAGCATCATCAGTCTAAAACAAAACACAGAACAACATAAACCATCAGCTCGCCTTTTATAAATACTTCATACATCAGTCAGTACCTCTGTGGGTGAGAGTGACAAAGATACTCTGTATTAGTTTATATATATATATACTTTATATATGAGCATGAGTTTTCTGTGTAACTGTGAGTTTCCCACAGTGAAGTAGTCCCACCAGCAGCAGCAGCAGAGCCACCATCACAATGGTGAACACAGTCCTTAAGAGGAGGAGAACATTAAAGGAGTGATCTGAGGAGGGACAAGTCTCTGTGTGAAGAGCTGCAAAGACAAGAGGATATATGTGCTGTAACAGCATGGCAGTATTAACAGTGTGTCACAGGTTGTCTCTAAGGGCTGCTGTAGCATTACTCTGGTACATACTGAACATCTATCAGGTTGCTGTTCTGCTTTTTATAGAACCATTAGAAGATAAACAGTGCAATGTCTCACCTCTGACAGCCAACCAGCTCTCTGCTGATTCTCCAGCTCCAGAGATCTTACACTTGTAGAGTCCTTCATCAGACTTGGAAACACTGTGGATGATCATCTCTCCTGTAGAGCTGCTGCCCATGAGGAGGCCATCTTTATAGAAACCAGCTGTGAGGTTGGAGGAAGTCGTCTTGTTTCTGCAGCTCAGAGTCACATTGTAACCTTTTCTTACAGAAAGGACTGGACTCTCCAGGATCACTGACCCCCTGAAAAACAAAGACCTTTAGTGCTCTTTAAGTAGCACAGAGACTGGAGAAGAAGTGTTTAATTCATTCTTCCACTCAAAGGCTACCAGCAACTTTTAAGGTGGAATGTTTTTCCTGCATAAGGTAATGTTGTGAATCAATTAACACACCTTAAATGTCAAGACATGCTTTATTGAGGATTGGATCTGCAAGGAAAAGTGTGTATGAATTTCAACCAGATTATGAGAACAGCAAATATTCTATTTCCTCCCTTCGCGATAAAGTGGCAAAGCGTTGCTCTGGCAACACTAAACCTATGAATTTGGTGAAATACTACAATATGTCTAATTTCTGGGAGTAAGCTTGCAAGGTTGATTTTAATCTGTTTTTTTAGTTCTCTCAAGGTATTTATTTTTACATTTGAGGCCATAACCTCATGGACTTCAAGCAGTGACCTTTTATAGAAACTTAATTTAACATACCAGTAATGGTGATGTTGGCGCTGTTGCTTCTCTCTCCTCTTTCAGTCTCACACCAGTACTCTCCACTGTCTGATGGATAGGCTCTGTGAATGGTGCAAGAAAGTACTGGAGTCCCCTCACTGCATGCTGAAATGAACTCCACAGTGTTCCTGATCCCTCTCCACTGAGTGGAGCCATCGAGACCCTCACAGTGAAAGGAGACGGACTCGTATTGAAAGGCCTGCAGTCGGTTTGGAACAATACGAAAAGCTGCATCTGAGACAGAAAGACAGAGTGAGTTAAAAACAAATTGAACTAAAATCTCTTTTAAAGCACAAAATCAAGACATCAGCACATTGTGACAATTTAATTAGTGCAGTCTGACGTACATTTGAAATGTAAGTCATGACAATTCAAATTCTGGATCATTACTGCACAAAAATGTAGGAACTTTAATGATACCATCCTTTAGAAGTTTAAAGGATATTACCAATATACAAACATAAAATATCTGTCTTATCTTTAGCTGAGTCCTACTTACCTCTGTTCTCAACATGTGCACCCAGCAGAATGAATCCAACCATGACTGTATAGACAAAGGAAACAAACTATACATCAACCTTAGACTCATTTACTGTATATATTCATACAAGAACATGTCACACTTGAAAAGAGACCTGAGATGCAGTACTCACACAGTCTGAAGCAGAAAGCTGCAACCACCATGTTGTCTCGGTGCTGACTGAGCATCAGACTGAAGTTCAGCTGAAGTAGAATGCAGATGAAAGCTTCCTCTTCCTGTTTGGTTTTCTGATGTTGAAAAGCTGAGGCCAAACTCATGTGGCTTCAACATACAGCTCTGTGGTACACCCCTTTGCTTACAAGTTAAGAAGCTGACTAAGAACTGCGATCAGCCATTGACTTATATTTACAGATATAGCGCGACCTTGATGACTGAGACACAAACCTAAAGCTCCTACTAGTAGTTTCCTGTTTCCCAGGAGGAGAGACTACGTTAATGCAACATAACTCTGTGCCACCAGATAGGGTTTCACTGTACCTATAGACAACTGAACAGACCTGCTGTGCTGTACCCCGACAGCTGAAAGACAAATGGATATTTTGATTTGAAGGCAGAAATCTTTTTGAGGAGCTACAGTCAGCATGAACAGATGATCTGATGTATGTAGATGCTGCTGGGCTTCAATCAGCATCCGTATGAACAGCATGGACCTGAGAAAGAAGTCAGTCAGTGTGAATCTGAAGTCCTGTTCTGCCCCCTGCAGTAAGATACCGGCCCTAACAACTACCTCATGAACACTTCCCTTTTCTCAAGTTGGTAAGACATTAGAAAATCATTGTTATTGCTCTTGATGCTTTAATTGCAGCTGTAATATGTTATACTAGTGATCAGTTACCTAGCAACAGGCTCAAAGTTCAACTGTTAACAAAGACACTCAAAGTGAAAGTGATCTTAGTTCTTGAACCCAGACAGAAACCCCATATTGTGTTTAACCTTAAGTGATAAATTAATTATAACACGTTTGGTACTTCGACAATGCCCTTCAGTAAATCTGAAATTTCATTTTTGATTTGTTTCTGCTGGATCAAATAAAATAATATGCAGCAACCTGCACTGGATAGAATAAAGTGAGATAAGGTCACAATCAATGATTTACAGACTTTGGCTGAGCAGTCTGATAAACGGCTGACACATCATGCAGGTACGTCGTCTTATTCATTTGTTTTTGCCGATTTACATGTTTCAACTTTTATTTTAAAAGACAATATCATCTTCTAGAACAAAAGTAGGTCTGCATGTATTGTCTCTTTGTCATTGGAAATGTTGATGCCAACAGTTATAACAAGTATAACAAAGTTTTTATTGCACCATGCATAGGTATGCTTATATGTACAATCTGTTTTGAATTGTGGGGAGGGTCTATGTAACTAACTTTACATAGAAACACAAATTAACATACAGAGTCGCAGATACACACACCAATAAGGAAATAGTACTATATGTAAATATATCAAGATATCAAATTATTTATTTTCATTGATTAAAAATGTTATTTTTTAAATCAGTCAGGTAAAACAAATCTCAAAATAAAGGCGATAACAGAACCTTTGATTTTGAAGAAGCACTTGATGTATTTTACATTGTAACACTATATCTAGGATTTGCCCCACAGTTGGTTCTAAAGGTCAGAATATCTCAGCCTGTGTGACTATTCATTGCTCAATTACTTCATTCATTCATTTCACCTGCAAAAAACAATTCAAAAGCATTTTTTTAAACATCATATAACTGCTCCATTTTCAGAGCTACAGGAGGCTTCACCAGACAGACCGGCTCACACTTCAGTCTCCATTCTGGACCCTCAGTGTTTTGGTTTTACATCTTCTCCTAACAAACTCTTGTAAAGGTAAGTAACACAAAAATGCTCTTCATATTTCGGGTTTTAGATCAAATTCAATTACGTGTGATGTATGTTGATAAAGTATCTTCTGCTATGTTAATCAAATATATTCAGTGTAAACATTTAAACTATCTTCATCTTCCACTTTTTTATTGATGTATGGAAAATAATGCTGCTATGACTGGTAATTTACTTTAAGACAAATGCTCTGTATTATTCCAACAGTGCCTTGTAGCCACTTCCTACCACAGGAATTAATGAACAGATTTAATATTTTCCAGGTCAGTCTCAGTTAATTGGTCCACTTCAGTCAATACTGGCAGGAGTTGGGGATGACATCATTTTACCATGTTACCTGCAACCTGCACTGGATGTTACTACAGAGACTTTGGAGTGGAAGAGATCTGATCTGAAACATATATTCATCCATGTGTGGCGTGCTGGTCAGGATCTCATAAAAGAAATAAATCCATCCTACAAAGGAAGAACATCACTGTTCATCAATGAACTGAAGCACGGAAACATTTCACTGAAACTCTCCAAAGTACAACGCTCTGATCAGGGAACATATGAATGCGACCTTCCACTGCTTCAAAAACAATCTTCTGTGAGGCTTGTTGTTGGTAAGTACAAACACAGTGAGTGTTCATAGTGCGGTTTGGTGTAGGCTCTGCATCCAGTAAACAGTTTGAGTGAGAACTCACAACTTATAAATAATACATTTAAATGTACAGTGTGTAGGATTTAGTGGCATCTAGTGGTGAAGTTTCAGATTGCAACTAACTGAACATTGCTGGAGTCTCAATGGACCTTTTAATAAGAAGGTGAGTTAAAACTGCATTGGCCATACGTTGGCCAACATAATGTTTCTGAGATGAGAGAATGCCACTTTTGTTGCTTTTTATATACGGGGCATAAAACTTGCAGTAGGTCAGATTGAATTGTTTCATGATGATTTTTGTTTGTTTGGGGGACAGCTTTTATTGCCTTTAATCGATAGTGATGGCTGAAGAGTGGGAGGAAAGGGGGGAGAGGCAGAGAAGATGATACACAGCAAAGGGCCATCAGTCGGAGTCAAACCCATGGCCGCTGCAGCAAAGATTTAGCCTTTTCACATGGTGCACAGGTAGAACTGGTGCACCAGTGCACCAGTTCTACCAGGCGCCCTGGTATGGTATTATTGTTAATATCAATATTTTCCTTTTCACTGACACCACTCTGTTAAACCTTTCTATTTGCTCAGCATCACACACTGCCTCCTCGCCCGACATCAGTTTATTGGGGATCGACAGAAAGAGAGGAGCAGTGATCCTAAACTGTGACTCTAACAGCTGGTATCCAGAGCCTGAGGTGGTCTGGCTGGACGGTGAGGGAAACCTCCTCTCTGCTGGACCTACAGAGACAGTCAGAGGTCCTGATGACCTCTATACTGTCAGCAGCAGAGTGACTGTGGAGAAGAGACAGAGCAACAACTTCACCTGTAGAGTCCAACAGAAGGACATCAACCAGATCAGAGAGACACACATCTATATTTCTGGTTAACATTTATTTATATATATATATATATTTTATGAAGGGATCACTGTTATTGTTTTAAATAGCTGAGGTCAACTGTACTATTCTATAATTACCATGTTTTTTTGTGTTTTATCTTTTCAGATGAAATTTTTTGAGTCCAGCTCTTCTTCTGCCACAGTTGGTTTGGCTGTTAGTTTGGCTGTTTGCATCCTGATTATATTGTTACTTGTGTTTTTTGTGTGGAAACGCAACACAAACAGTAAGTTACAATGTTAAAGTTATTTTAAAGAGAATAATTACAGGAATTATGTCACTGTGTGAATGAAATGTTCACTTTGATCAAAGTACCAGTATTTTCAGCCTGTTATTGTCTCCAGGTAGTCAGATGCTTTGTCACACTCCCTCTGTGTCTCATACAGACTAACAAGGTACCTTTAACACAGGGCTGTGAAACTCAAATAACCTTCCGGCCACTGTTGGAGTTGTTAGTTCAACCAAATAGAAAAAAATTCAAAATAATAATTAATCTTGTGGGATATGTTTAATAACATGTCACGGGTCGGAAATGGCCCCAGAGCCGGTATTTTTAAGGCCCCTGCTTTAACATCAGAACAACAGAAACCCATCTGTGTCTGGTGACGTCGTATAAATTCAATTCAATTCAATTTTATTTGTATAGCGTCAATTCATAACAGAAGTTATCTCAGGACACTTTTCAAATAGAGCAGGTCTAGACCGAACTCTTTAACATTAATTACAGAGACCCAACAGTACCACCATGAGCAAGCACTTGGCGACAAGGGCAAGGAAAAACTGTCTGTTAAAAGGCAGAAACCTAGGACAGATCCTTCGGCTCTAGGTGGGTGGTCATCTGTCTCGACCAGTTGGGGTGAGAGAGAGAGAGAGAGAGAGAGAGAGAGAGAGAGAGAGAGAGAGAGAGAGAGAGAGAGAGAGGGAGAGAGAGAGAGAGACAGACAGACAGACAGGTGCACAGCAACAACAGTTGAGCAAGAAAGTCCACATATGAAGGTGGTGGGGTGGATGGATGGGTCAAACTAACCCAGGAGACTGGGGGTCCTGTCCTCTGTAAGACCAGAACTCAATGTTGATTGTATCTGATGTAATTTTAGGTTTTCAGTTACATAAGTTACATATAGTTCACGTGACTTGTAGAGTCACTTATGTCACATGATTAACGTAAAGTAACACAGTTATTTTAATGCAAACCATGACCTTTTCCTTTTGTTGCTCAACAACCAAACAGTGACTGTTTCACAACGTTAACCATGTGTTAAAAATGTCTCACACAGATGTTAAAGGGTACCATGTCTATCTGTATGAGATGTAGAGGGTATTTGATCACCTGGGATAAGAACTGATTGGTATTTCACAGGTTATAGACCTACAAATGTGGTTCTTTGTCTACTTTTATTTCCACTCAGTCAAATTGTCAGGTGTTTTATCTTTATAACCCATTTTATACCTGATTTAATTCTGAAGTGTCTCATGTGCTTTGAAGTGAAATGTAAGTAAATGTCTTTTAGACTTTAATATTACGCCTCATTTGTTCACAGAGACCAAGAGAAAGCACAGGGATCAAACTGATGCAGGAACAAGAGAGACGCTAATGCCAAATGAAACCAGCCAGAGTTTCCAGACCTTGAAGGCAGAGGTTGGTATTTGTATTTTCCACAGAAGGTTTCTTTCCTTTAAGTTCTCCTTCAGATTGATCTCTATCAAAAATATAGCATTGTGACTTTTAAATATCAAACTCTCCTTTGTTGTCATGCTCCCTGCTGAGATACTGTACATATATTTGTAACCTGACAGACCTGTTTGGCTGTCACTGTTGTCTTGTTTCCTTTTCATACACAGTACATGAATGTGGTGTTGATTCTCTTTGTATCTTCCCAACCATTCTGTTTCCAACAAACTGAAAACTGAACAAATACAGAAATGAGCATAAAGCAGTTTTATTTAAAGCAAATAAGAAATATATCCTTTATATTTTGATTGTAAAACGCATGAAAATATAAATGAATGGTCTTAATTTATTTTCTTTGGCAAGTGACCATGGTATAAGAGGGATACTGTCCTTCAAGGTGTCCATAATCAGGAATTAATGGACTTGGGTTGTCCATTAATTCCTGATTATGGACACCTCGTCGGGCATTATCCCTTACATATACAATGACAAATATCAGGAGCAGGTTTAAAGTCCTTGCAGTGGAGAGCTCGGTGTTTCAAACAGTAAACATGACATAAATGAATGTTAACATAAAATAATGAAGTCTGCTAGACATTGCAGCTGAGTGGTAAATGAACAGAAACATAACTATTGAAATGAATGTGGAGACTTTATCTTTTAGATGCAGTGCTAACATTGGTCTTTATGCAGTCTTACAGATATTCTCTAAGCACTTTATTATGTGCACATGAGCCTGTTGTTATCCCATCATTACCTTGAGCTGGTTTTACCCATTATTATCAATTCCAATACCAGCACTACTATTATTATTAAATATTACTGCATTATTTCCTCTGTAACTGCCATGGTATTACCCACTATTACCTTGTTTTACCAAAGCCTCACACTGACCACAAACACACATTAAAAGATATGATGATTTAAAGCTGCTAAAGGTGATCTTTGTATAATAACACTGTATCAAATGCCAACATGAGGATCATATGAAAAGGGTGCTTCTGGTAGTGATGAAGCTACAGAGCATTATGAGCTGAATCTGCAGCTCCTCTCAGCTTTACAGAGCTTTATAGTGAGTTTCAGCTCATTGTTTATCTGTCCACACACAGCTTCACAGTGTTGGTTCACTGTCACTGCTCTCATAGTGTTACTGTCAGAGGCAGGAAGCTGTTTCAAGAGAACAAACTGTAAAAACCCACTGTGCACTACCTGCTCAGCATCAAACAGCAGACAGTAGAGCTGTACAGGTCAGATCATGGAGTACCTTCCTGTTATTAATTAATACATTTTTATATTTCATTAATCCCCTAATGGAAAAATGTTTCTTTTCACTCTTTTTATTTTATTGTATACACACACAGGCTGAAATGCACACTCATGCACATGCAGGGCTTGTGGACATACAAACAGGGAGAGAGATGGTGGAGTGATGAGCTGCCACATTAGCAGCTCCCCATGAGCAGTGTCTTGGGGTTAGGTTGCCTTGCTCAAGGGCACCTCGGCAGTGCACAGCAGGTGAAACTGGCACCTCTCCAGCTACCAGTCCACACTCCATACTGTGGTCTTTGGGACTTGAACCGGTTCCCAAGTCCCTACACACTGAGCTACTGCCCCCCACTATGTGATGTTTATCTATGACATAGTATTTTAACTTCTGTCTTTATCTCCCCTCTCCTCTCTGGGGGAGAAGCTCACTGAGGAGAAGCAGCAGAGTGAGGATGCAAAGAAGAAACTTCAAGCAGAGTTGAACAACAAGGTAAAAGAGGTTTATATTTTATTTAAAGGAAAAAGTCAAATGTCCACCTTAAAATGCTTCTACTCTTTCTACCTCATTCAGAATTCAACAATCTATTAATATGAACATTTCTAGAGTTTTCCAACTGGACACAAAAGTTTTTATTTGACAGTAAGCACCTTTTGGTGTTGAGGGTCTTGAAGATAAAACTGGGACTTGATTTAAAGCTGTTCTGAATTCAGTTTGACCCGCTGCAGACTCCAACTTCACACTGCTGATATTAAACATTACTGTTACATTAATCAAATCAGACCATGGATTTGTCAGTTCAAAGCAGAGTATATCAAAATTAGGAGTCAAGGCCAGAACCAGCAAAAAATCTTGTATCTAAGATCAGGACCATAGTACAAAAAGAGAAGATACTCTGTCGTTTATTGGGAAAGAGAGAAAAAACAAAAAAATATAAAAAGCCAAAATACTGCAAAAATTTATTTACAGCTTTCTAACTCCATTGTTTCTGTCATGTTCCCTTACCTGT